GCCTGGCCAACTTTCTGCTTCTTTTTAACACATTTTGCCCCTTAGAGATCCAAATGAGGTATGACTTATGACTGTCACCAAGACCCCATATTTGTGCTCTGGGGAGCTGACAGACATCAAAACGTCTTTGAAACAGTGCACAGTGATGCCCATGAAGCCTGGTTTGAGTTAAGGGCCAACTGTAGAGCAATTCAGCTTCTCCAGCTTGGAGGTCCAGAATACTTTGGACTTTCAAGGAAATGCTGCCTTTCGCAGAGGAATAGGGTAGTATCTGAATGTGACCTGGGCTTGTATTGGGTAGAGAATAAAGGGATGATAAAAACAATCTCAGTAATCTTTCTTGGTATCCTTTCTGTTTCATTATAGTTTAAAAGGTCTAGCTTGAAGAACACTATTCCTGATTTTGGCAAGTTCTGGCATCTTTTTTTTTTTTTAATTTTTTTTAAACATTTTAGGAAATCTTTCTAAGAAGGGGAAAGGCGTGACCCCACTTATCTAGAGACCTAGAGAATAGAAGTGTGAGCTGATTTGAGAAGGTTTAGGTTTAGAGGAGACCACTTCTCTATTAGACAAAACCCCACATGGGATTGGGACTGCTTTTTTAAGTACTTGTATGTTACGCAGTATATTTTATCTGTTTGGATTTAGCTTCTTCATCTATAAAGTAAAAAATGGGCAATTTCTTAAGTTTCTTTTAGTTTAATTGTGTTTTATTTTACATTTATCCTTGACTTTAACAGGATTCGCAAAGTTGGATTGGTGGAAACAATGAACCATTGACTGGCTTTACATGGCGAGGTGGTTGTGAAAGGGAAACAACAGGCATACAAGTTTGGAATGAAGTATTTGTGATTGACAGACCAAATGGAACAAAAGTAAAATTCTGTTTATACTCTTTTACTACTTTTTCTCCCACATTGTTTCTCGGGCTATTTTCTGGTGTTAAAAATCAAAACAACACAACTATGATAACACATGGATTATTATGTCAAAATGTACACAATATGAATACTCTTCTTGATTTAATTATTGATTTTCAAGTTTATTTCATACTTGGTTTTTATAGTCATTCTTGGTGAATATTTTACTAAGTATTTTAAACTCTTAAATTCCTAGGTTGCTGTGCTGCTTATGGATACTCAGGGTGCCTTTGATAGCCAGTCCACTATTAAAGACTGTGCAACGGTGTTTGCTCTGAGCACTATGACTAGCTCTGTCCAGGTGAGACATGAGATTAAGTGGAATAATCAGTTCACATAATCCTTTGGCCCTTCCTCAGAATGCGTCTTTTTTTTTTTTTTGAGACAGGGTCTTGCTATGTTTCCCAGGCTAGAGTGGTAGTGGCTATTCACAGGTGTGATTATAGCACACTACAGCCTTGAACTTCTGGGCTCAAGTGATCCTCTGTCAGCCTCCTGAGTAGCTGGAAATATGGGCACATGCCACCACGCCCTGACAAAAGTCCTTTTGATTGAAGAGGAAAAAAGATTAAAATTAAAGGGCACTATTTACATTTCTTATTGATCATTTACATTTCCATGTTTGGTGTTCCGGTTGTGGCTTACAATGTTAAATTTCATACTTTGGATAGTTACAAAGGGAGCAATAAACCAATAGCCAATCCCTTTTGTTTTTCATTATGGGGGTCTATGCTTTATTTTTAATTTTAATTTTAATTTTGGGACAGGGCCTTGCCTTGTTACCTGGGCTACCATGCAGTGAGTGGTGTCATCATAGTTCACTGCAGCCTCAAATTCCTGGGCTCAAACAATCCTCCTGCCTCAGCCTCCTACCTTGGCCTTCCAAAGTGCTGGAATATAGGCTTGAGCCACCATGCCCAGCCTATGCTTTTTTTTTTTTTTTTTTAAAGGAAAAGATATTGCATGTTATCTGTAATTGAAATCAGTCTGATCTCTGCCAGATACAGTAAGGGGTACAGTATTTTTTTGTTTTTTGGCTAAACCAAACAAAAAAACTGAAGTAATTAAACTTAGAAGTCTAGTTTTCTATTCGATATCTTTGACAACTGGTATTTAATTATTTGCACTAAAGGAGATAGAAGCATAAGAATTAATTAATACTTATTTAGGAAACCTAAGTGATGCTTATATAAATAAATTAAGGATTTTTAGCACTTGCTTCATTTAGAAAGGAGTAAAATCCCTTCTGTGTTTCACTTAAACTCTGTGTTTGGTGTTCTATCAAGTCCTAGTTTCTTCAAGCAAGACCATCTTTTTTCTGTATAATTTAGGTTGACTGGACTGAATTAAACTACCACATGTCATTTTGTATTTCTTTTCTTTTTTTCTTTTTTTGGAGATCATCTGTGGTTGTTACATCTCTGGCTGAAAAATGAATTAATAATGTGTTTAGGTCCTGCTGGTCGATGGTGTATCAAGCAGTGTATTTGCAAGTATTTTTAAAAAATGGGGTATGCATTCCTCCCAAGAAATTTTTCTTACCAATGGCAGATTGTAAGTGATACTGTCACAGTGTGTTGTAATTTTTATTATGCTTTCCAGTAATGTCTGGAACATATGAGCAGTTTCTCTTAGCTCCCATTTCTCCCCTTTCTCAATTCGAAGTACCCAGCCGTGAGAGTGGAAAGAAGGTTGGATATTAACAGGAGCTAAAAGAAGAGCACTTTTCAGGCTGGCTTCTCTTTATTTGGGGCCAGGACTGGGGATATTTGTCACTATCCACTAAGTGATGCTCTCAGGAACCCTTAAAGTCACCTTTTTAAAAATTTTGTTCTACTTTTTTGTCTCTAATCTTAGAAGATGGAACAATTGTGATTCCCTAGAGGCAAGCAGAAGCCATAACTTTGTGTTTATATTATCACATTATAGTCCCTCAGGTTAGCTGGCTCTAGGATTTACTTTAAATTATCATGAGGGAATTCTGTGTTTTAAAACTTGTTTCTTGATCTTCTCTTATTTATTCAGCTTTTTGATAGTAGGAGACCTCGTTTTGGACAGCCACTTAAAGCCACTCAGCCACTTTTCTCATTTGTAAAATGAGAGCTTTACTCATCTTGCCTATCTCACATGTGGTTATGTGCAGTCAAAAATGAGATCTAAATGAGATACAATGCATACATGAAAGTGCTTTGTAAACTATAAAAAACCAAAAAGATTAAGATATTTATTATTCTTCCTGACCTTTGAGGGTGGTGTGCTTTCCTTACATAAGATATCTGGCTGACAGAGCAGTGACAAATTGATCCTCTTGTTATTTATTCTTTCAACAAAAGTATATTGAGCACCTGTGAAGAGCAAAGCAGTAAGCCAAGTACTAATGATCTAAGTTAAACAAGTCTCCTTCTCTCTTTGCTACTTGTAACCTGGCCCTGACAATGAAAAGATCTGGAGCTATTATCAAAAAGCTAATGCCTGCATGGATAAGAATAGGTTGGTCATGCTGTCAGATCTTAAGTTTAAATCTAAAGTTTAATCACTTCAGTCATTAATTACTTTTTTACATATCCCTTTTGGAATTAGTAGCTTAGAATATCATTTTAGGTTTGCCAGCCTTTATTGACTGTTTATATTCTTGACCTCCAAGTGATTCAGCTAGATTATCACTTATTTGCTGTTAGAACAAATTGTTCTGTCTTTGAGTAACCCTATTTACTCAGATATAAGTTATTTCTCAGAAGAGGTGATGTCTGTGGATGGCCAGTTTTCTCCTGTGGCAGCCTAGATTACCTTCTGAGGACTTGTCTTGTAATTACTGGAAGAAGATCTCTCTCTTCTGAAGATAATTAGACCCTTCTCTATCAGCTCTGGTCTGTGTAACTTGGAAAGGCTCCTAAAAATTATGGAAAGGGCAAGAGTGCCACCTACTGTTATTTTTATTAGCTTCCACAGGCCGGTAAATTATTAAGACTGGTAAAAAAGAGAACCACGTTAGAGTCCATGGTGGATGAGGCACTCACTGAATAACTGTATACTCTGACTGTACCAGGGAGGAATTTATCTTTGTAGGACTATTGCCCCTCACATTCACTGACTTAGAAAAATGATGTGGAAACAATCTTCACTTTTTTTTTTTTTTAACGATCATAAAGTTAAAGAACTTTGAGAAGGAGAAAATGAAACTTACTACACGTTACACTTGTTCTTTTATGTCTACCACTTTAGACCGTGAATATGCATGTGTTCATGATCTTTATGTATTTTACCACCACTGCTTCCTCCTTACTGTTTTATTTTGACCGTTAGGAAAAAAGAGAAAATCCTTTTCATGTGCCACTGGTTGAGATAGTGACTAAGTGATTCATTTGTGCTGAGGTACAAAGTAACCTTAATTTCTACAAGTAAAGTTATATATAAGCTGGGTACTCAAAATAAAACACTAATAAAAAACAAATTTTGTTTTAACAGGTATATAATCTATCTCAGAATATTCAAGAAGATGATCTTCAACACTTGCAAGTATGTATGTTTCAAGGAAGATATACCAAAGTATTGAATATTTAATTCTCACTTTCTTGTGAATTCACACTTAGAAGCCTATAATATCATTAAAAAGATTGAATATTATATGAGTTTAAACTGATGTGTGACTTTTTAATTGGAAGAAATTTCAGTATATGCCCAGTGCATTAGGAAATTGAATACTTTTAAATGATTTTAAAGGCTCTGACATATGGTGCTTTGATATAGAACAGTTTTACAAATGTCTTCTTCCAGTCTCTTTGGGGGCATTATTTTAAATAACTCGATTTAACAGTTATTTACAGAATATGGAAGACTTGCAATGGAAGAAATCTATCAGAAACCATTTCAGGTAAATAAGTATTTTAACATTTATAAAAATTTGCCTATGAGAAGCTGTCAAGCCACCTCAGCTTGTAACTTTGGAGACAGCAGAATATTACAACAAACTCATTTCTAGCAATAGATTCAGTGGAGTTGAAACTAACCTATAGTAATGTCATCACCAACTTACTCACCAATATAGGCTTAAACAGAATAGGAAATAGAACAAAGTAATCTAGATTGATTCTTAATACTTAGATTAAGGGAGTAATGTTTCTCTTAGGTGTTATTTAATTTCAAAACTTAAAGACAGTAGGGAATGTAAGATAGTCATGTTGAATTTTTTTAATGCACGATAAATAATTACAAAAATGTTCCAGGTTTCTTTTTTGTGGTATGTTGCACTTTGAAGTTAGTTAGTCTTGTTATTCTTTATATTGGTTTCATATAAAAAAGTTTCAGATAGTTTATTTTTCAAAGCAAGTGTAATTTATAAGTTGTCATTACTACTGTTTGGTTAGCTGCAGTTACAGTAGGGAGGAATGACTCCACCATGTTTGCTCATCAGTGTGTGAGATCCTTCCTCTATGATGGCATTGCCACTGGTTGTTACTGCTAATGGGTTTACATTGATTCTGCCTCACTCTTGTCTGGCTGGTCTGGCCGAAGTGATCACTTTTATGAAAGAGTTGGACATGTTATGGGTTCATTTTTTGTATATGGCTAAAATACACTCTATTTGGCCTATATCAGTTTTTCCGATCGGGGGAAATTTTGCCCCCCAGGGGACATTTGCCAATGCCTGGAGACATTTTTGATTGTCCCAGTTTTGTGGGGGAGGTTAGTGCTACTGGCATCAAGTGCCTAAAGGCCAGAAATGCCTTCAGCATCCTACAGTGCCCAGGACAGCCACACATGAGTAAGAATTATCTGACCCCAAATGTCAGTAGTGCTGGAGTTGAGAAACCTGATCCTCTATGAGTAAAAGATTCTGTGAAATGGCTTTATTGACACTACTAAATCTATAATCAGTTTAGAATTAGCCATCTAGAATTAGCTGGTCTTCTAGTTATACAGCCTTCATTTAAAATTATGAGCTATGTGCCCTGATAGGCCTTTTTTATTCATTTTTAAATCCTGTAAATTATGATTGGTATGCCCTGATATGCCTTTTTTTTTTTTTTTCATTTAAATCCTGTATTATTGCTTGTGGTGTCTCTGTTCTTACATACAGTGAAGTTCTCAAATGGTGGCGATTGCTTGTCGTAGGGGCTGGGAATGTTGGTTTTTTAAGTGGACTCTTTGATATAACCATGAGCAGTACTGACCATTTGGTTACTATAACTTTTGATAAGGATTGTTTAGGAAAGTAAGGAAGGCTTCAATTGTTAAAGTTGTGATTTTTCATAAGATTTTTAAAAGAAATGATTCATATTTTTTCTGTGTATAGACATTAATGTTTTTGATTCGAGATTGGAGTTATCCTTATGAACATTCATATGGTTTGGAAGGTGGAAAACAATTTCTCGAAAAGAGATTGCAGGTAAGCTCCTACAGAGGAGAGCATAAGCACCAAGCCAGGAGAAGGGATGGTCTGTCTAGACTCTTGCTTATACTACCACTCTCTCTGTGTCATTGGAATAAGGCATCCCACGGTAGCCCAGGTGACTCTGTACATAAGTGGTGAAAAGTAAATTGGTTGTACTCCTGCCTGAGAAGACAATGGCATTGATCAAAATTAAGGAACAAGTATTTCTCTCCAGAGCCAATTGCCCCCTCTGTAAATAAATACTCAAAGGATAAAAGTTTGAAGGAGACTAACTTTTTGACTTACTTAGATTGCTTATGTATCTCTGGGCCAACTGAGGTTCTGAACATTTGGGACAGGTCTGTGCATGCATTGAACACAGGTGATGTGAGACCCCCTCAGAGGAATGCTATCTCTCAGAGTGACAGCATGTAGAGCTAGAAAAGGGATCTTAAACATCATCTAGTTCAGCCTTTTTTTTTTTTTTTAATACACAATGAAACTGGGACACAGAAAAGTGACTTGCCTATGGTTTAACTAATCCTTGATAACTGGGACTAGGACCCAAATATCCTGACTCCTTTGCAGCATGCCACATCAAGGCATTTCTGGAAAATAACTTCACCAGCATGATCCTTTGTACCCTCCCATGGAAATACTCAGGAAACCTGCAGGTCAGATACTTACGGATTACCGATCTACTCACATACACAAAAGATACATAAAGATCCCTTTATTCGTAAGTCGGAGGGTGCTCTCTTTTGGTTAATAAGCTTTTGTCTGTCTATGGGATGATGCATTTGGTTTCTCAACCACATTCATAGATTTGGGATACAGTGTAATTTTTTTATTCCTAAAGTGAGATTTAAACCAATTCCTCCTCCTCGGATTATTTGCAAAGCATTTCCAGACCCTCCTGTCAGAAATAATTTCAGTCATCAGAGTTTTCTCTGGTTCCTTCAGAAGAAATTAACACAAAGCACATGAGGCATACAATTTAAAATCAGATTTATGAACCTCAAAGACAAGAAGGTTAACTAACTTCTTATTGATATGTGATACATGATTTAGAAAATTGCTGAAATCGTGTGTAGCTTGATGAATTTGTACAAAATGACCATAGACATGTAGCCAGCACCTGCAAGCACCCGCTGTCAGACACTAACCCCAAAAGCTCTATACCACTATCCTGACTTCAACAGGCTTTGCTTTTGTACTTTATGTGAATGGAATCACATACAGAATGTATTCTTTTGTGTCTAGCTTTTTTTTGCCTAATACTATGTTTCTGAGGTTAGTCCATATTGTTGCATATAGTTTAGTTCATTTATTCTCATTGCTATACAGCATTCCATTGAATGAATGGACAGCAGTTTTTTCATTTGACTGTTGGTGGAGATTTAGATAGTTTCCAGATTTAATTATGAATAGTGCATGTTTTGTTAGAATGGTTTTTGAGAAGAGTCTTTAGGAGGCTATGTGAGTATGTTGGGATAAGTGAGTAATTATTCAGAATGTTTCTAAGTTTAAGATTTTCTTCCTGAAAATACACAGCAATCTCTCTTCTCAAATTCTGATAAGTAGCACAAATTATAAATAGAGCCCTGAAATTCTAACAAATTTTCTAAGGTTCTTTGGATTGCACTGGAACTTTCTGCCTTAGCCTTATGTTGCTTGGGGGCTAATCTTTTTATTTATAGGCAAATTAGTACATTGCTGTTTTGTTGCCATTGTTAAATACTTTAACGGTAAATACTTAATTTATTTACTGATGTGCAAGTCAAAACCACAATTTGTTATTCAGATGTTAGATATAATAACGAATTATTATATATTTTTTGCTATTCTAGACAACTTAGGAAAAAAATCATCTTCTCCTAAATTTAAGAAAGTTTAAGAAAATGTGAGGTCCTACAAAGTCGTTAGAAATGGGCCGTTAGTAATTTTTTGTATCATAAGCACCCTTCTAGAGTAGCATCTGGTTAAGTGTTGCATGAATGTGAGTATGTGTATGTGTTTTCTTTTTTAAAATTTTTCTTTTCTCCTGTGTACAATGTCACCCTGTCTCTTTCTGCCCTCAGGTAAAACAAAATCAACATGAAGAGCTACAGAATGTAAGGAAGCACATTCACAATTGTTTCTCAAACCTTGGTTGCTTCCTTTTGCCACATCCGGGTCTTAAAGTTGCAACTAATCCTAGTTTTGATGGGAGATTGAAAGGTGGGAATTCCCATTCTTGCTAAAATCAGAACTTACTTTTTAGAGGCTGAAAGTTTTTTTTTTTAAATACATGACACCTTAAATTTCCTGTCTTACACTGGAGTACATTTGCATTGTTAATGTTGTGATTGTAATGCTCCGTGTTGTCTCTCTGGCTTTCCATTGGTTTGTTTGCAGCATCTAAGCATATTGATTAACCTATTTGATGATGTGTTTTGTTGTTCAGCACTCATGTCTTGAAAATTCTGAAGGCTAAGAACATTTCTTTACAATATTTAAACCGATTGCAGTTTGCTAAAAGGCCTTACCATTTTGTTGTGTTGATAAAATCAGATTTTGGTCTCTGTTTCAGGGGTGGTGAATTTTTTTGTGTATGTTTTAGGGTTATTTTGAGTGTGATAGCAGACGGCTTGAGAATTGACAAAACTTTCATAGTATGGCTGGAAAAACAAAATTTAGTAGTAAAATTTAATACAATTTCATGAATTGTTTGCCTCTTTTGAAAAGGATATTTTAGTTAATACTTAATGTGGAATTTGTTTTGGTATTCCACAAATTGTTTTATTTATTATTTGAGCTAAAAGAATGATTGGGGGATGGGAGAAAGGGGATAGTAGAGTAGGAGGGATTATATTTTTTCTTATGAGATATGGCATGTTTGGATGATTTTTTTTTAAATGAATCTACTTAAGTAATCGATATATGTACTCTTATTTCATAGAACAGAATTTTATGAACTCTTACCAGTGGGGACTTCTAAAATTTTTTCTTTTTGACTAATATTTTGGTCAATTTTGTGTCCACTAGATATTGATGAAGACTTTAAACGAGAGCTTCGAAATCTGGTTCCATTGCTGCTTGCCCCTGAAAATTTGGTAGAAAAAGAAATAAGTGGATCTAAAGTCACTTGTAGAGATCTTGTAGAATATTTTAAGGTAGGTGAATGCTTTAAAATTAAGCAGCTTTGTCTAAGGTAGAAACAGAGTTGACTTAAAACTCATCTGTATGTCTGTGTTTTAAAGCAAAAAAATACATAATTTATTTTTTGAATTGGATGTGTCAGTATTTAAGCATCTTTAAAAGATTATAGCAGACTACTTTTATCTTCTAGACAGTGATTTTGTTTGTTTACAGAATTATCCTACTTTTTCTCCATCTCTGATATGGAGAGAAGAGCCATTCATTATACTGTTATACCACTCTGTCATTTGTGAATGGTAATAGAAATTGGGAGCATCCCGAGTTCTCATAGAAGCATTCTCCCAGAGTTAAAAGCAGCTGAAAGTCTCTATACTGGTTTCTGAGAACAAGTAAATTATTCATGGTTATTTTCTCTACTCTTCTGTAGTCTTTACAGCTTGTCTGCCAGAACAAGACCATTGGAGAAGGTTGTATTATTCATAGTAGGTAGTTATAGATAGGTGGAAGTGAAGATACAGTTAATTAAGAGTGTATTTTTGTTTACTTATTGGGCACTTCAAGGTCGCTCTCATCTTTGTTATGAATTAATTTTTAGTCAGTAGAAAGTTGAAAGACTCCTGTATGGACTTCGAAAAACTCCCATCCTTCTAACTATTAAGCCAAAAATTAGTCATTTTTTTTTTCTTGAGCTGAAATATAATTTAAGCTGGTCAAAGTAAAATAATGGGTTCAAATGTTTTTTAACATATGTATATTTGAAACACTATGGGAGAATTATGGATTTCTTTGCATAAAGTAGATGGTATTTTATATATTTTATAACTTTAAATATGAGATATAACTTTTATGCAAGTTGGAATTTAGAAACATTTCTCTAGGATATTATTTAGGAACATGTACTTAATAATATTGAGAATAAGGTTAATTTTGTTGGAATGAGAGTATATGATTTTTAAAGCCTAGAATTCCCTTTTAATGGTATGAATTATTTTTATATTTAATGATTTTTTTTTTCCTTTGGGAATACAGAGCCAAATTACATAACTTACCAATATAATCTCTCTTTTTAGGCTTACATTAAAATTTATCAAGGAGAGGAACTTCCACATCCAAAGTCCATGCTTCAGGTAGAGAAACAGAGAGTGTATGATATGCATTGTACATATACTTGTTATGAGGGAGAATAAAAATCTTTGCTTTAGAGAGAAATGCTGGAAAAGGGGAGGGGGATGCTTTTTTGCATGCAAATAAATTTTACATATTTAAGACTATACATGTCATGTGTCCTAAAGTTTTCTTTCTTTTTTTTTTTTTTTTTTGTAACTGCAGATTGTAGGCTTTGCAAATATATAGGCCACCAGAAATAAGAGTCCTTGGTACCGTTTCTTCGGATGCTTTATGTGTAGGAAAATTTCTATTGCAGAAGATGGCTTAATGTGGGTCTCTCTGAACTAAGCTGCTTCTGTTCACTGTGTTGTTGACACTGAACGTTGTTTGAAATAGGCTTATTTTTATTTTGTATTGATGATTTAGAGCTGCCTCTAGTGAATATAGACTTTTTTCTTGTCTTTTGTTTTTTTTTCCTTTTTTAAATGGTGTTCTTTTGGAACATGTTATTTTAATCCATTCATATTTTTAAAAATTAACTACTTTGGGCAATTTCTCAGTTTTATAGTAGATTAAATGGTATTTTCTAATAAAACTCATATAATAAGCAGTTTTGTGGGTTTGGAAATGTCTTTTTTGTAATACTGATTATGAAAGAGAGAGAACCATGTAGGTCATTCTTGATTCGTGACATCTGGAGACTCAGCACATTTTAGGGTTGTATCTATTTAACTCTGTCCATTTCTTGAGAATATGTGGTATTTTCTACAAACACATTTTTTAACATCAACCTAAGCAAAACAAAATTAGGTAGGCAGTCCTCTTAGAAGCATTTACTGTATCCTTTTTATACCAATATTTTCTTCCATTGGAAAGGAAAATTGGAAGTCGGTATTTTCTCTGGTTCATTTTCAGACTTGTTCATTATACATAATTTATTGTGTTAATCAGAATTTATAGAGTCATAGGGTATTTTTTACATAATAATGGTACATTTAATTTTATTTTTTAGGCAACAGCTGAAGCTAATAATCTTGCTGCAGTAGCAGGAGCAAGAGATACCTATTGCAAAAGTATGGAACAGGTTTGTAACTAAAATTTAACTTTGATGCCAGAGTGGGATAGAAGATTTTTATATTTAAAATAATTGAGCTAATTTGTGCCACTTGTATATTGACATGTTATGTCATTTCCTAATTCTCCATTATGATCTCTGCTGGAAATAAACTGTAAGAAAATACATCATTAGAGTTTAGCATTTGGGTGGTAAGTTATTATACACATTCTACTGAAATTTTCTGACACATGATTCAGAGTGCTGTTATTAGTAGCCTTTGGTAGTAACATTAGCTTAAGGCCAACAGCAGTTTCTGCTAAGCTCGCTCAAACATTAGAATACCTTTTTAGTGTGTTATCGTTTACCCACCCTCTTGCCAGCTGTCTTTTGTGCTATTATGGTGTATTGGTGGGTCAAGTGAAGGCAAGTACAGAGTGCAGCATAACTTTTTTTATCTTTAGTTTTTATCGAGATTAGTCATATTTGGAAAATTATTTTGCTTGAGTCAGCTTAACGTATAAAAAATAAATAGGTTATGATTATTTGTGAGATATTACAAATAAGTTTAAAACTGAACCGTTGTAAGTGGTTTGACTTTCTGAGACTAAAAACTGTGAACAGGGAACTTATTTCAGGTGTTAATTATTTCTAACCTGTAATCTGCCCTGTGTAATTCTGTCTGTCCAGGTATGTGGTGGGGACAAGCCTTACATTGCACCTTCAGATCTGGAGCGAAAACACCTGGATCTCAAGGAAGTGGCGATTAAACAGTTTCGTTCTGTGAAAAAAATGGGCGGAGATGAATTCTGCCGTCGTTATCAGGACCAGCTTGAAGCTGAAATTGAAGAAACCTATGCAAATTTTATAAAGCACAATGATGGCAAAAATATCTTCTATGCTGCTCGTACCCCTGCCACACTGTTTGCGGTCATGTTTGCTATGTATATAATCTCAGGACTGACTGGCTTCATTGGCCTGAACTCTATAGCCGTCTTGTGTAACCTTGTCATGGGGTTAGCACTGACATCTCTTTGTACTTGGGCATATGTTAAATACTCTGGGGAGTTCAGAGAAATTGGAACAATGATTGATCAGATTGCTGAAACACTATGGGAACAGGTTGGTATCTATCTTTTGGTTTCTTGGTGACTAATCTCATTTTCCTTGTGATCCCCTCCCATCCCCTCATAGTATTTTCACACCGACTTTTCCTTTATGTAAGGACTGTCAAAAGGATGTTTTCTGTTTTGTTTGGATGTAGAATCTGTATAATTGAAGAGTTTTTTTTTTTAAAAAGTCATAATTATAATGTGCTTTGGTTAGCTTAAATCTGTAATATCCTCTGGATAGATTCTTAGTTGTAGGCCCACGACTATACCAGACAAAGGGCAGGGCCAGTGTCTCCAACAATTTTTTTTCTTTTAGAAAAGAAAATATAATCAGTGAATAATTTTAAAGGTAAGGAAAAGAAGTTTGGAAGTGCAGTGCTTTTGAAAAGCAAAAGAAGTTTCTTATTAATATTGGCTAGAAGTAAAATTGGAGAAACATTGGACGGTAGACAGATATTCATTGCCTTCCATGAAGATAGTGGTGATTTCCTGATGTACTGCCAAGAACAATTGTACAGAAATTTCTTACCAAAGAAACTTTGACCTCTGTATCGTGGAAATACTAATGAACAAAGCAAAGCATCCTGAGCAGAGAACCAACTTCCATCATGATATTTTACCTCAAACGAGAATTGAAAGTCAAGCTGTGAACTCTTGTCCAGCAAGTATCTACTAAGGAAAGACATTTTGTGTATCTGCCACCTGTGTAATAGAATTTCCTGCATGTCCACTTAAGGATGTCATTAAAATGATCATCGTGAAATACTTGAGTATCATGTCAAGGACCAGAATGGAAGCTGCAGTGATTACTGATGAATGATGTAATAGGCATTTTCAGATGTCATTTCTGGGCTGATGAAGTATTGAGCTTATTTGAAGATTCAGGATAGGCAGGTCCATGTTTATTTTGTCTTTAAAGACTGAAGAAGTAGACATTTTTTGAAGAAAGTTGATTGGATTTTGACTTCTCTTGTAATAATGTCATCATTATTTTATAGAGTGACCCAGTATATTAATTTGGATTTTGTATTTATTTGAGAAATGCTCTATTCAGATCTGAGTTGAAAGTTTGTGTTTGAATATTTGCTAAATTTTTATCTCTTAAAAAAGCCTCCTTCATGTTTCTTTGATATCATCTAATAGAAGATGGATTAACCTCACTTTTTTAAAAAAATGACTAAAATTTTGGACCATTATTTTCTGCAACATAATTTTCAATAATTGTATAATGTTTTCTTTTGGAAAATATTCATCTCCTGTACAGAATCGATTCTAGGATTTTAGAGGTACCGTTAATACAAAACAATTAAATGGAAGAATCTAAAGTGTGTAAAATTATTTTCAGAATAGTCGAGGTAAGGTGATCACTAGTCAGAGAAGATCTGTACTGTGTCAACAAACCTTGTCTTAATTTCTTTGCATTTCTCTTTTCTTTTGCTTCAGAGGAGTCCCAGGAAGGTGAGAAACCTACAAAGTCTCAAATTCTTGTAGTCTTAAACTCTTTAGCTTCAAGGCACTTTGAGTCATTCTCCTAACGAATCACTCCGTGTTTTAGGTGTTTTCCAAACTGTTTGAAGTTACTAGACGTCGAATGGTTCATCGTGCTCTTTCATCAGCACAGCGACAGAGACTGTCATCCAACAATAACAAGAAGAAAAATTAGACAGTATTTTTAACTTTTTTCTCTATCTGAAGTGTTCACACTTACACATGTAGGACAGTAAGCAGGACCGTCTGGGCCGGTCTGCATAAATGCTGTATACATACCAGATTTGATGCTGCATATAGGGTATGGAATTGCACATCCATCTCATAGGAATTGTAAATGGTTTGAATAAGAGGAAAGTAATTTTTGTTGCATTATAAAATGTCTAACTGCATTATTTGTAGCATCATAACTTTTGGGAGAAGCATCTTTTTATTTCCCACATTCCTGGTTATTTTCATCATTGCTTTGAATTGAATTTTTATATCTATTTTTATATGTAACTTTTTTTACCTCACATTTTTGTTTGTTTTGCACATTTCTCATACCACAGGTATTGAAGCCCCTGGGTGATAATTTGATGGAGGAAAACATAAGGCAGTCTGTAACAAACTCTATCAAAGCAGGCCTGACTGACCAGGTGTCTCATCATGCCAGATTAAAGACAGACTGACAGTTCATCTCCTCATGGACTCCACTCTCTTTTCTTTTTCATGCTTGCTGTACAATGAGAACTCAGAATAAACCAAAGTTTACAATCAACTGTAGAAGTAGTTTAGTATGACTGGCTTCACAGATGGCTGCCACAGAGTGTGAAAATTGTTTGTTGGTTTTAAGCATTCTTTTAATGACTCCTTAAGACATGCAGATTGGCTGAGGAGCATTAGTTTATCATGCACATTTGTGCCATGTTTAATTCTTTTATTTCGTTTTACTTAATCTAATGTTAGTGAAATTTGTCTTATGTAAAAGGATATTTCAGGGAAATATTTTAATAAATCTATTTAGAATCTCTTTAACACAGTGTCCCATTGAGATTTTAATTTTTAGAGAAGTTATGAATCACTGTATCAAGAATCAGATTGGAATGACAATGAAGCCTTTATTGAGCCACTACATTAAAAGTATATATTGCTTTACTGCCTTCAATGCCAGTATTACGTAAATGCATGTATCAGAAACTTCACAGAAATTACACGACAACTCTTGTAGCTAAGAAAGTAATTCTGAGGTGTACATTTGTCTTGCCTTTTTAAATTTATAAACCTGCCCTAAAAAGGAGATGCATATCTGGGAAACTGAACTGTCTTTTTGCAGTTTAGCCTTCATGTAAATAAAATATGCCATTAATTTTATTGGGGGAGAAATTCCATCCAAAAATGTTGCCTACAGCTATGAGTTAAGAGTGTCTGTACAGTGTGCAGCTTTTATTTTCTAAAATCACAGATAGGGCATGTATATGAATTATAAATATATAAATACAATTTTGTATTAAAAGTTTTGTAGTTTATGGCAAAATCTGGTTCCGTGGTAGGCTAATAAGTACAGTCCCTGTGAAAGGAATGTTTGTGGCTCATGTCAGTGTGTGAATGCATAGACAATTTGAAGTTTTTGATATATTTGTGATATTTAATCTTCCTTGAGCACTGCAATCTCCCCCCCCACCCCAAGGGAATTCAATGGGAATGTTTATTGTGACTTTGTCCTCTGTTGCATTTTAAAGTTATTTCCTGTAATTTATTTTCAGTACATAATTAAAAATTTGTTGTATATATAAAATAAAACTTGTGATTCTTTTTTAAGGAATTCTGTAAGTATGTATTCCACTATATAAACCATGTCTGTTTATACTGAAAAGAGCATGAGCAGGAAACACCCAACTTGAGAGCTCTAAGGTATTGTACCTCAAAGCTAAGCTTGTAAAAAGTTATTTTTCTGCGTCTTTCTCTGTAAGGGCAAACTTGTGATTAGCCTAGGTGTAGCTGGGGATTTGTTAATTTCTTTCTTTTTCTCTCTCTCTTTTTTTTTTTTTTGTGGTGTATGTATGGCTAACATTTTTTCAGTACTTTTGTAGTTTTCTTTATGAACACCTATTAAAGCACCTAGTTTGGTTTCTAAGCGAAGAAAATTCAGATGTTGAGTTGTTTGCATGAAAGCTCTAAATTTACTTTGGTTGGTATATCTTCCCTCCCACCCCATTCAGATCCTGTTTTTATCTGGATTGTATTTGTTTCCTTCTGTATTAAATTGCTACCCACTCATCTGTTCTGAAACATAAAGAATCCACCTGAAAAGTGTCTCTTTTTATTTCTTCTACCACCCTGTTTTATGAATGCTGCGGACTGTTTTTATGAATTAAAAAATAAAAAGTTTGTTCTATAATAGCAGTTTTTCTGAAATTAAAGACTTACATAGCTTACCTTAAAAAAAAGGTGTTAAATCTAGACCATTGAATTTCTTAGTATTTCTTGTTGGAAAGAGTGTTTTCCCCAAAGAAGACATAATTCTCCACAGGATTCCAAGAAAGCGCTTTGATGTTTCAATTAGAAGACTCTGAATATTATTAGCAAGAAGTAATAAAAGATATTAAAGACACACTGAAAACTATTGACTGAAATAACTTTGGTGTTGGTATATTTTCTGGTGGTACAATTTTTAGTAACTAATCTATATGGCAAGTTAGGTTTTTTAAAAGAGATGATTTTCTCAGTGACAAATGCTTCATCTTCTAATTAAGACACACATAATTTACTTTTGTGAAAGGGGCAATCATTTGTGACCCAGCTTTGAGTATGCCTTATATATTTCTCACGAAGATAGCTGGTCATCCTTGCTTCAGTGAAAATAGTCTATTTGTAAGAATTGAATAGCATCATTTCACTTTGAAGGTTGTATTTTCAGAGAACTCTGAGCTGGGCTGGCTTGCCTTATTTTACTTTCAGAGTTGAGCTGGGCAGGCTAGGGACTTTATCCTTGCTATATATATAGGCATGAGTGTTTCTAGTTTTAATTACTTGTTTTATTATGGGATTGAAAAAAGGTTTTGGTTTTGGTGAAGAACCTATTAAAATATACCATAAATTTTCAGAACACACTGTGACGGTGGCTGTTAGTGCTCTACTATGTGTACATCCAAAATGGCTTTTCTGAAATCAGTTGTTTAGCCTTTTAGCCAGGTAATAAGTAGGCTTTTTGATTAGCTGCTTTATCGGTTAGTGTGGGTTGTTGCACACATTTTTTGGGTTCAGCTTACAAATTCATAGCCTGAATTTTCACCGTCTAACTTGACCAGAATTGATCTGCATATCTTAGCGTTTGTCCATTCATGTCATAGTTGTAGGGTGAGGGTGAAAATCGCTTGAATTGCTGATAGCTGTGCTTCTGGCAGCTGTCCTCTCACTTGGCTAGAGTTTACTCATCAAATGACTATCTTACTTGGATTGTGTCTGGAGCCTCTTCCATATAGAGAACTTGACTTTGGGGACTCCTCAAGTTGTTGGCTCCTGGTCAAACAAAGCTCAAGTGGAGCATTCCTAAGCGTCTCAGAGAATTGCTACCTTCTCTACTTAAATCTTATATTAGGTCCTAGGAACTTCTCCCCTTCAGATTTGCATTTTGCTGGAATTTAAACTGAGGAATTAAGCTGCCCTTAACATACTTCAGTGAAAAACAACTTTTAAATCCTTTTAGGTTTGTGACATTTTGGGCTCTTCACAGCTGAAGATACTAGCTGGTCAGGTCAAAAGTGCCTAAAGATAGGTATACAAGGGTTGTGGGGAGAGGATCATAGCCTTTGCATAGCTCAGTGAAACACTTCCATATATATGTTAGTGCTTTGTCGTGCTCATGACGGTCCTCTGAGACAATCTGGCATCCCAGGCTTGCAAACCTAGGACTCTACTACACACCTCCAGAGGTTTGAATCAGTTTTGAAGCTTGAGACACAGACAAATGTTGCTAACTCAAGATCTCAGGTCTATCTTGGCTGCATTCTGAAAAGCACTAAAAAGTGGAGAAAACAAGATTTTCCTGATACTTAAGGTGGAAATAAACCATAATATTACCACTTTAAAAGATGAATCATACGAAGCAAGAAGGGAAAATTTCCCTGTTTTATTGTACACCTGAGAGGTAACCATTACTTGGGTATGAATATTGAAATCTTTCCTGTGCTTATTGACACAACTGTATATGCATAAAATATACTTTTTTGTTTTTTTTAATACAAAGAATTATCCTGCATGTGATTTTTTTTCATATAACGGTATTTTCCTAGGTGCTCACATGGTTGCTTTGATTCTTCTGAAGGTAAATGGGGTTTTGAGAGAACACTAGACCTTTTATCACTTTTTTTTTTTTTTTTTGAGACAGAGTCTCATTCTTGCCCTGGCTAGAGTGCCATGGCGTCAGCCTAGCTCACAGCAACCTCAAACTCCTGGGCTCAAGCGATCCTCCTGCCTCAGCCTCCCGAGTAGCTGGGACTACAGGCACGTGCCACCATGCCTGGCTAATTTTTTCTCTCTATATATTTTTAGTTGTCTAGATAATTTCTTTCTATTTTTAGTAGAGACGGGGTCTCGCTCTTGCTCAGGCTGGTCTCGAACTCCTAACCTTGAGCGATCCTCCCGCCCTAGCCTTCCAGAGTGCTAGGATTACAGGCGTGAGCCACTGCGCCCGGCCTATCACTTTTTTTTATGACAGTTTTCCTCCTGCCACAGGATTCTTGAGAGAATCAAATAAAATATGGAGTGTGCTTGGGAGGCAGGTGCAAGAACAGAAAATTGTGCTCTCAAGTTTGCTTGTTTTCAGGCTCCATCTGTAGACTCTGTTCGGCCACCTGTACTTCTTGAAGCTTGTCCATACTTTTTTTTTTCTCCCTGTCATTTGGGCTCTATTTAAGAATTTTAACAAAAGTTTCTGACAAGTTTATATGGTAATTAGGAAATAACATAGTTATTCTGGAGCTAAATGGGTCTGTAGCCACTGACAGCGAGAAAGAGAGGTCATCTAAAATGGCGTCGTTCAGACATCCCAGCTACAAAGCATGAAGACTACCTAAACATTTGGTGTAACCTAGAACTGGCAGAACTTAAATTTCAATTCTAGGAAAAGGAGATGGACTTTAGAGTTAAAACTGAGCTCTGTCTCCAGCACCACCATCCACACTTTGTGGACTTGGACAAACGCCTATGTAGCAGTTTACCTTCAGCTTCTCCATCTATAAAATGGGAATAATATCTACCTCTTAGGGATGTTAGGAGGATGTGATAAGAATGTATATTAAAATCCTGGTAGACTTTTTTTTATGGGGATGGCACAAATTATACCTATTTTTAACTCCCTCTGCTTCCTGAAGAGAACAAACAAGATGGATTTTGGAGGATGGTGGTCATGGCTATTTTGTCTGTGGAAGAAAGCATTTATCGGTAAGTTCTTTTCCTCAACTGCATTGAGCTCCTTGGAAAGAAGAAACCATACTTTATACATTGTTTAGGTTTTTACATTATCAAGTATTTTGTGCATAGTAAATGCTCAGAATGTTGTAACATGGGCTGGATTAGAGCTAAAGTTATGCAGTATTTTGTTGTTTCCCTGGGGCGGAAGTGGAGCCTATGGTGGGAAGGACAGATGTTGACAACAGATTGAAAGTATGCTTTTCCTCCATACTAAAGTGAATATTGCCTCTCCCAAATTAGACTCATTCTTAAGCTTAGATGTTCTTTCAGAACTGTGCTGCATTGCTTCATAAGCTTTGGACTGGTTCTCTCCTTTAAGGTCCTTTCATTAAAGAACAAACTAGGGCCAGGCATGGTGGCCCATGCCTATAACCCTAGCACTTTGGGAGGCCGAGGCAGGATTGCTTGCAGGAGTTCAAGACCAGCCTGAGCATCATAGCAAGATCCCGTCTCTACAAAAAATAGGAAACTTAGCTGGATGTGGTGACATGTGCCTGTAGTCCCAGCTACTCTGGAGGCTGAGAGAGAGGGGTTGCTTAAGTTGAGGTTGCAGTGAGCTATGATGATGCCACTGCACTCTACCCTGGGCAATAGAAAAACTAGTTCTAGGTACAGCTGTATCATTGCAATCTTTCATTTCATTAGGGAAATATTTAAGAATGATATGAGACCTCAAAATATTCCCTGTTCTTTCATCAGCTTTTGAGTACAGAGAAAAGAACCTCAGGGCTAAGTTTTATAAATCAGCAGCAGAGATCATACTTCTTATCAAGGTATAATCTTCAAAATTACACATGGCTGTCATACAAATAAATTAATGCAATGAACACATATCAAAATTTATTCTACCCCTTAATGACCTAACCAATGAGATGGCAAAAAGCTGGTTCAGAGCAGAATTAGAGAAACAGGAGTTATGTAGTCCACCAGGAGGGGCATTTTGGAGCCAGTACGCTGAGGACTCTAAGCCCTTAGCAGTAAATAACAAAGTCAAACATACCTGGATCAGTGAGTCTCAGACTTCTGGCCTCAGCACCTTTATACTCTTTAAACTTCAGGACCCCAAATGGTCTATCAATATTTATCATATTAGAAATTAAAACAAAAATGTTAAAATATTTAAAGTAAAGGCCCATTGTTTGTTAACTTTTAAAGATTACATATATTTACAGTGTACCATATACTGTTATGATACATAGTGAAGTGATTATTACACTCAAGCAAATTATTCATCTCACATGGTTAGCCCCTCTTTTTCATGTGTGTGGGAAAAGTACCTAAAATCTCTCTGCTTTAGCAAATTTCCAGTGTACAATCTCACAT